TCAAAGCTCACATTTAAGAGTACGGTGCCTTCATTAAGACGGAAGCTGAACTGTGCATGCAAATTAATCCTCCTGATATAGATGTAGTGAATTTGCATAATTAGTCCTAATAAATCCAGCTCTTCTTGAGGAAGATGTCATTTTTTAAAGCAGCAGAATAAATGCAATGCTGGAAATATAAGACATCTCTTCACCCCAACTACCGTAATGATGCATCATCTCTGCTTGTTTACTTTTGCCACTGCCTTAGTGAGAGAGAAAAATCTTATTTGAGCCTTGTTTGATGGAAAAGGAAATTAGAGAAAGGATCTTCCAAAGGAACACATTGCATAAGCAGAATTAGCTTGACGTTGGCATCAAGAAATCTGATTTATAAAGAGCTAGAACTGAGCTCATTCAAAGGTTTGGCATACGAGAGATAATTTCTCCTAGTTGAAGAATTAGAAGAAGTAATGGATCTGATCTATCATCCATCAGCCCACAATAGGACAGCCTTTAGCCTCCTCATGAGTTCCACTGATTGACAACAAAGGAAGGGAGGGAGGAGGGGAGGAGGGGAGAGAGGGAGGGAGGGAGGAAATATTTACAACCTTACACGTGAGATGGGCCCCAGCTACAGTAAGTGGTAATTTTAAACAATCTTCGATCTTATAAACCAGATATGGACCTGATTAATACTTAGGTGGGAGACCACCAAAAAACCTATGGCTGTAGGCCAAGCTGAGAAGTAAGAAAAAAGAGAAAAAATAAATGGAAAAAATAATGACAAACCAATTCCAAGCCAAGAAAACTCCAAGAACATGCTTCTTAATTCACCAGTGACTGAACTCGGTTCAAAGATGTCTTTACTTTCCATCAATCAACATGGCCAAGAAAGTTTGGCTGAGGGAGACCTATCTGTCCAAAATCCTTGTTCTGTCACAGAAAGGTTTCAGATGCCACAGACATCTGAACAAAGGGTCGGGGGATTTTTAATAATGATTTTTTAAAAAAATTAAAAGTAGCCCCCAAGCTGATTTAATTACATAGCAAGAATCTGATGCAAGAGCATATGCTCAGCGATATACGGACCAGGCTTGCCAAGTATTTTACATAAATGCTAACTGGCAAACACCACACAGAGAGAGAAAGCAAATGTAATTATTGCTAGGTTAGCAGCAAGCAAAGTTGGGCACGGAAATGTGAGAACAAATTACTCAAGATTATCCTGAGAACTCATTCCTGTGCCTTTCCATCACATGTTGCAATCCATCATTTCTTTTTCTATCTTGCTGGTAGGGAGGGATATTTTAATACCAGTAGAGCTACAAAATGCTGGTTATTCCTATTAAAAATCCTGTCCTGTCTCTTCAGATAACAAAAATTGCTTTCCTTGCCCAGAATTAATACTTCTATCATTTCTGCATATCTTATCAAGCAAGGAGCTGCACGCATTGCTTGGCGAGTTCTAAAACAAACTGCTTGAGCAACCAGTTACACCAAAACAGTATTATGAAGTTAGGCCAACAGTGGAGCAGAGGGATTTGTATCCTGTATTCCTTTCAATCTCATTTTTTTTTCTTTCTTTCCTTCCTCCCAGATCTTGATCATGGTCACGGTGGCATGCAGAGGTAAGTGCTTCCTCTTTACCATGCTAGGGAGCTCATGC